GGTAATTCCTCCCAGATCTGGACCAGTGCATCACTGAGCTCCTGGATAGTCTGAGGTGCAACCTGGCAGCATCAGATGGACCAAAACATGATATCCCAGAGATAGGCCAGGCAACGTAAGGGCCATTCGGTGGTATCAATTTCTTCATCCTCCAGGAACTACCTGCATACTCGGCCACATGAGGCCGGGCATTGTCGTGCACCAGGAGGAACCCATGACCCACTACACCAGCATAGGGTCTGATAATGGGTCCAAGGATTTCATCCCGATACCTAATGGCAGTCAAAGTGCTATTGTCTAGCCTGTAAAGGTCTGTGCGTCCCTCCATGGATATGCCTCCCCAAACCATCACTGACCCACCACCAAAACGGCTTCTCTAGACCCTTTCACATCTGTCACATGTGCTCAGGGTGAACCTGCTCTCATCTGTGAAAAGCACAGGGCACCAATGGCCAATTCTGGTGTTCATTGGCAAATGCCAATCGAGCTCTATGGTGCCGGGCCGTGAGCACAGGGCCTCCTAGAGGACGTCGGGCCCTCAGGCCACCCTTATGAAGTCTGTTTCTGATTGTTTGGTCAGAGACATTCACACCAGTGACCAGCTGGAGGTCATTTTGTAGGGCTCTGGCAGTGTTCATCCTGTTCCTCCCTGCACAAAGGAGCAGCAGATACTGGTCCTGCTGATGGGTTAAGGACCTTCTATGGCCCTGTCCAGCTCTCTTAGAGTAACTGCCTGTCTCCTGGAATCTCCTCCATGCTCTTGAGACTATGCTGGGAAACACAGCAAACTTCTGGCAATAGCACATATTGATATGCCATCCTGGAAGAGTTGGACTGCCTGTGCAACTTCTGTAGGGTCCAGGTATCGCATCATGCTACCAGTAGTGACATTGACCCTAGCCAAAACTAGTGAAAAACAGTCACGAGTAGGGAAAAAAATGTCAGTGGCGGCCTCCTCTAAAAACCATTCCTGTTTTGGGGGTTGTCTCATTGTTGCCCATCTAGTACACCTGTTGTTAATCAGTTTTTTGCATTGGTGTTAAATTAACAACCCCCTCTACTACTTAACTGACCAGATCAATATCCCAGGAGTTTAATTGACTTGATGCTATACTCTGATTAATTTTTTTGAGCAGTGTGTTGTAGCAATCGCGCACACAGAGATGGATGTGAACCTCCATTTTGGCAAAGGCCTCCATCTTGTATCATTTTCTACTCCCAAATTAGATTCCTCCGATATCCCCCCTCCCTCTCTGTTGAGTGACATGTGGTCTGTTTGAGGCAGAGATCAAAGGCATCAAGGCCAGTGGGAGAACTCATGTTTATAAACCTCAATTAGCCTGGCCCCCAGATGTTTGCGAGACTCTGCTTGGAGAAGGATTGTAAAACCATAAACCAAGTCCTTCACTGAACTCAAAGACATTCCAGGTAGTCGTAAAACGGACTCACATTTAAACATCCCCTTTTCCCCTATGATTACATGTCATGGACTATGAAAGATGTACATAAAAACCAGGCATGTATTTAGATTGGTCTCGTTAATACAAGGCCTCTGATATATTACATCCCTTAGCTGGCATCAACAGGAGAGCAGAAAATGATCTCCTTGGCCGTCCCAGCAGGTGTGTCGTGTTTCATGCCTAGACGTTCAGCAGTCGATTCTGCGTAATAATCTACTCGTGGATAGAATGCTATATGTATCCAGGGAAAGTTATTGCCCTGATATCAGCTTGTGAGGGATTTTGGTCCTAGCTTGGGCCTCCACCTATGGCTCCCTCCCTCGGTGGGGCGATTGGTTCTCTGCTTCAGGGAGACACCCTGCTGGGTTGCTGGTGAGGCTGTTGTGCTTGGAGAGGAGGGCTGAGCTGAGTTGAGGATTTTCCCTTTTGGCATCGGAACTAACTTTGGGAGATGGAGCACCCTTTTGGCCCGGGAAGCTTGATCTGCTTGGACCAGGACGTTTGGCAAGTGCTTTACCTTCGTGAATTCCTTTCTGTTATCTCTTTGCTGTGCTATTGCTCTTTGTATATTTTTTTTTTATATATATATATATATTCTACATCTTTTTCTGTAAATATTTTTATTGCACCCATTTGACCTTTTAGTAATAAATCTTTCTTTCTGATAGTGTTGAACTGTTTTTAAAGCTCTTTAATGCAAACTAAGAACCCCTGCCTCTGAAGAGCGCTACTGTGTGTGTGTTTTTTAAGCTTCGGTATATCTCGGCCTGCGGTGACAGTGGTATATCAACGCTTATGCAAACAACATAGTGTTATTGCTGATGTTGCCGAGTTTCCTCTTTCTCTGTACAAAAAGGAGGTGGTGCAGTGTGAAGGGTTAATTGCGTAATTAACCTGACCCAGTAACAATCGCTCCCAGGCTGCAAGTACACAGATTGTGGTCCATTAGCTGGAAAATCTTTGTGCAGGGTGCAGCTGGGCTTGGCATTGTTACGCACGTGACAGCGCGGTTTTAGATTGGCTAGTCCTTCGGTCATGAGTTTGGTGAGAAGGCCTGGGGCCTGAAGCCGCGATTAGCACATGTGTATGTGTGTGTAATATATACAGTGGGGATCGAAAGTTTGGGCACCCCAGCTAAAAATTTGTATTAATGTGCATAAAGAAGCCAAGGAAAGATGGAAAAATCTCCAAAAGGCATCAAATTACAGATTAGACATTCTTATAATATGTCAACAAAGGTTAGATTTTATTTCTATCATTTACACTTTCAAAAATAGCAGAAAACAAAAAAATGGCGTTTGCAAAAGTTTGGGCACGCTGCAGAGTTAATATCTTTTACTGCCGCCTTTGGCAAGTATCACAGCTTGTAAACGCTTTTTGTAGCCAGCCAAGAGTCTTTCAATTCTTGTTTTTTTCTAGGTATCTTTGCCCATTTTCCTTACAAAAGCCTTCCAGTTCTTTGGATTTCTGGGCTGTCTGTCACGCACTGCTCTTTTAAGGTCTATCCATAGATTTTCAATTATGTTGAGGTCAGGAGATTGTGAAGGCCATGGCAAAACCTTCAGTTTACACCTCTTGATGTAATCCCCCGTGGATTTTGAGGTGTGTTTAGGATCATTATCCATTTGTAGAAGCCATCCTCTCTTTAACTTCAGCTTTTTCACAGATGGCATCAAGTTACCATCCAAAATTTGCTGAAATTTTATTGAATCCATTTTTCCTTCTACTCGTGAGATGTTCCCTGTGCCACTGGCTGCAACACAACCCCAAAGCATGATTGATCCAACCCCATGCTTAACAGTTGAACAGAGGTTCTTTTCATTCAATTCTGTGCCCCTTCTTCTCCAAACGTACCTTTGCTCATTCTGGCCAAAAAGTTCAATTTTAACCTCATCGGTCCACAGAACTTGTTTCCAAAATGCATCAGGCTTGTCTATATGTTCATTTGCAAAGTTCAAACGATGATTTTTGTGGCGAGGACGTAGAAGAGGTTTTCTTCTGATGACTCTTCCATGAAGACCATATTTGTACAAGTATCTCTTTATAGTGGAATAGTGTACCACAACTCCAGTGTCTGCCAGATCTTTCTGGAGGGATCGCGCAGTCAAACGTGGGTTTTGAATTGTTTTTCTCACAATCCTGCGAGCTGTTCTGTCTGATATTTTTCTTGGTCTTCCAGATCTTGCTTTAACTTCCACTGTTCCTGATGACTGATTTCTTAATTACATTCCGAACAGAGGATATTGACATCTGAAAACGCTTTGCTATCTTCTTATAGCCTTCTCCAGCTTTGTGAGCGTCAACTATTTTCAGTTTCAGTTTTCTAGACAACTGCTTAGAAGAACCCATGGTGCTGATTGTTGGGGCAAGGTCAGATGAGTCTGGGCATTTAAAACCTTTGAGATTGACATCACCTGGTCTTCCCAGACGATGATTGAGAACAATCCATGACACTGGCAGGTCTCAGCTTTGCAAAGGGGCAGTGCATGCTATAAATTCTGCAGGGTGCCCAAACTTTTGCAGACGCCATTTTTTTTGTTTTCTGTTATTTTGAAAGTGTAAATGATGGAAATAAAATCTAACTTTTGTTGACATATTATAAGAATGTCTAATCTGTAATTTGATGCCTTTTGGAGATTTTTCCATCTTTCCTTGGCTTCTTTATGCACATTAATACAAATTTTTAGCTGGGGGTGCCCAAACTTTCGATCCCCACTGTATATATATATATATATATATACATATACACATACATACACACACATATATATATTTTATATACATACACATACAGTATCTCACAGAAGCGAGTACATCCCTCACATTATTATATCTAGGGATGTTGGATTCCTATCGCCCGACACATGTAGTTCCGGGCAGGTAGTTTTTTTCTAGCTTTAGCCCTGCGGGGCAAGCAGTGGGCTCACCTGTCAGGTGAAAGCATTTGGCGGCAGCGCTGCTGGCGATTGCTTCCACACAGTGCCAGCCTCTCCACGCCCCCCACCCCGCGCCACTGTGGGGACTGGGGAAGAAGGGGAGGATCTGAGAAGACAGGATCAAACAGCCTTTTTACACAATATGGAAGATTAACCCCTTAGATTCCTCAATGAATATAACAAGCATGCTTTACTGCATATACAGACTGATTTTATTGTTGTGGGTTTAGTAACACTTTAATGATTGTGCCAGGGGAAAGGGGGGTGTCAGGACAAGTCTGATCATTGGAGGAAAGCATGCTTAGTTCCCAGAACATCTAGAAAACAGAGCGATAGGAACAGGGGGAGGAACACCAGGGATTTCACACAAAGCAAACAATACAAAGAGAACAGGATACTTTTTCATACAAGTACATGGTACAGCAGACATATCATTAATATCAAATGTTGGTTTTACATATTCTTTAAGTCATGAAGGTATGTGGTACTTTTAAAGCTTCACATTTTTATTGCTGCTACTCTAGACAGCTGTAAATTATTAGATTTAATCGCTATAGGTCTGATTTACAGCTGCAGCTCCCTATCTTGTTTGTCTCTGTTATAGGGATCTAAAGGAGAAAAAACACAAATCTTAGTAGACTCTCCACATGTGTTATTAATGGACAGAAGGTAAGCCTAGTTTGAGAATAGATTTACTTGCATAATAGGGTAATATGTATGCTTTCCATGGCCCTGTTTACCATCCAGCCCCTAATCCCCTCTCCCTTTATGCTGGCCCTATATGCAATAAATAACAGATAGGAAATGATTCAAGAGTAGGGCTGCATTTTTATTTTTCTGCATAAACACCCAGATGTTTGTTTCTACTGATAAGCAGCCTATAGGGTGAATATTTCCAACATAGGTAATAGACTTTTTATCAATTGTTACTGTAGTTGACTGTTTTGCGTCACTTTAAACAAATATATTTAGCAAGTATAATAAAATGGCACATATAGACTGCTGGTGTCTGTTTCTGAGCAGCCTATTTTGGCTTTGGAAGGCAGATCTTTCCCATTGAAGATGCTTTAAGCTACTACAGTAGAAAATACATGTGAGAACTATCCTGCAATATGCCATTACACAGGGGGTGATAATATACACAGATGCTGAACTCTACTTTGAAGAAAATAAAAAATTATAGCTAGCTGTAAATGTTAGATGATAGTGCTAGACAGGACATCCCCAGCACCTTCTTATCAGTGAAAAACTAAATTGGTCAGTCAAATCTTTTTTTTTTTTGCAAGATCAGTTAGTCAAGGACAATAAGTTGTGTGTTTTCATGCCTGAATATGACCCATCTAACTTGGTGATGAATGTAGTTCAGCTACATTTTCAGGTAGACCTGATCAGAAACTCCATGCAGGCAGATGTAAAGAGACTTGTCTATTTACATCTGCCATGGGTCCACCAGAGTCTGTCAAAATGTGGACACAAGCTGAATGGACACGGATGTCAAAAACTGACATCCATCACATTAAACTCCAGTTCAGCAGGGAATATGTTCGCAGATCCCCCGCTGAATGTAGTGCTCTTTTTAGAAGGACCCTTAGAGCTGATTCACATTTATGCGGTGCGGATTGAAGCTCAGGTTTCACAGATAACTGATACAGTAGCTGTTCACCGGTCAGGTTTACATAAGTACAGGAGCCTTGGGAGCACCCTGTGGGTGGGGCGAGGCACATTAACGTATTTCTGGCTGGCCGTCCTGTTGTCCGACGTCGTTTTCCGGTGGGTGGAGTGCACGCCGAGCGGTGCGTTCCAGGGGCCATCTTGCCTAGTGGAGGAAGCTGCTTCTGAGATCTGTCATCCTGCTGTGTTACCTGGCTGTGGGGTCTTATTATAAGATCTGTGGAAAATCGTTTATACATTAATAAAATGCTGGTTAATATCTTTTAAAATGTGAGTGGTCTGGTTTAAAGCTTACTAAGATTGAAGGTTATAACGGTATCACGCTATTTGGTTTTTCTTCTTCCTGAATTTTGGTGGAGTCGGTGAGGGGAGTAATCGGAGGAGGTTTCTATGTCCTAGAGGAGGCAATATTTGGAGGTTAAAAAGGGGGTCCAGGAGCCCTTAATAATCCTGAAAGGCGTTCTGCTCACCAAACATCTGGTGAGTGCGGTTCATGTTGATTTTGCACTGGTGGATAGTGGAAGGACTATTATTGGCACTGAAGAAATTTATGAAAATATGTTTGTTTTTTTATCACGGGACGTTTTTTTGGACATGTCACTGGACTTTTCTTGTTTTTTGTATGTGTCACAAATTATTGTTTGACACTTATATACAGTGGGGATCGAAAGTTTGGGCACCCCAGCTAAAAATATGTATTAATGTGCATAAAGAAGCCAAGGAAAGATGGAAAAATCTCCAAAAGGCATCAAATTACAGATTAGACATTCTTATAATATGTCAACAAAAGTTAGATTTTATTTCCATCATTTACACTTTCAAAATAACAGAAAACAAAAAAATGGCGTCTGCAAAAGTTTGGGCACCCTGCAGAATTTATAGCATGCACTGCCCCCTTTGCCAAGCTGAGACCTGCCAGTGTCATGGATTGTTCTCAATCATCGTCTGGGAAGACCAGGTTATGTCAATCTCAAAGGTTTTAAATGCCCAGACTCATCTGACCTTGCCCCAACAATCAGCACCATGGGTTCTTCTCAGCAGTTGTCTAGAAAACTGAAACTGAAAATAGTTGACGCTCACTAAGCTGGAGAAGGCTATAAAAAGATAGCAAAGCGTTTTCAGATGTCAATATCCTCTGTTCGGAATGTAATTAAGAAATGGCAGTCATCAGGAACAGTGGAAGTTAAAGCAAGATCTGGAAGACCAAGAAAAATATCAGACAGAACAGCTCGCAGGATTGTGAGAAAAACAATTCAAAACCCACGTTTGACTGCACGATCCCTCCAGAAAGATCTGGCAGACACTGGAGTTGTGGTACACTATTCCAGTATAAAGAGATACTTGTACAAATATGGTATTCATGGAAGAGTCATCAGAAGAAAACCTCTTCTACGTCCTCACCACAAAAATCATCGTTTGAAACTTTGCAAATGAACATATAGACAAGCCTGATGCATTTTGGAAACAAGTTCTGTGGACCGATGAGGTTAAAATTGAACTTTTTGGCCGGAATGAGCAAAGGTATGTTTGGAGAAGAAGGGGCACAGAATTTAATGAAAAGAACCTCTGTTAAACATGGGGTTGGATCAATCATGCTTTGGGGTTGTGTTGCAGCCAGTGGCACAGGGAACATCTTACGAGTAGAAGGAAAAATGGATTCAATAAAATTTCAGCAAATTTTGGATGGTAACTTGATGCCATCTGTGAAAAAGCTGAAGTTAAAGAGAGGATGGCTTCTACAAATGGATAATGATCCTAAACACACCTCGAAATCCACAGGGGATTACATCAAGAGGCGTAAACTGAAGGTTTTGCCATGGCCTTCACAATCTCCTGACCTCAACATAATTGAAAATCTATGGATAGACCTTAAAAGAGCAGTGCGTGACAGACAGCCCAGAAATCTCAAAGAACTGGAAGACTTTTGTAAGGAAGAATGGGCAAAGATACCTCAAACAAGAATTGAAAGACTCTTGGCTGGCTACAAAAAGCGTTTACAAGCTGTGATACTTGCCAAAGAGGGCAGTACAAGATATTAACTCTGCAGGGTGCCCAAACTTTTGCAGACGCCATTTTTTTTTGTTTTCTGTTATTTTGAAAGTGTAAATGATGGAAATAAAATCTAACTTTTGTTGACATATTATAAGAATGTCTAATCTGTAAATTTGATGCCTTTTGGAGATTTTTCCACTTTCCTTGGCTTCTTTATGCACAAATTTTTAAAACAAATTTTTAGCTGGGGTGCCCAAACTTTCGATCCCCACTGTATAACTTGTAATATCTGCACTAATATTACTTATAGGTTGGGTATTTTACAGATTGTTTGTGTGTTTTGCACTGTTTTGAGTTGAAAAAATTTTTTTTTGTGGTTTTATACCTATGCACAGCAGCATCTCACGTGGATAAGTGTGTGGGGAAGGAGGTCCTGGGCGCTGAGGTCTTTTTGATTGAGTACAGGACAGGATTAGCTCAGGATTTTATCCTGTTCACACATATGCAGTTTAGGCATGGTTCCTATAGAAGTCAATAGCCTGTAATCCTCACCTGAACCCACTGCTCAGAAATCGCACATGACCCTTTAAAACTGCACTGACTCTGCAGCGGACATATGTGAACAGGCACCATAGGAAGCAATGTTATTTCACAGGTTATGCAGATTGGATGCGGTTCAAACCACATATGTGAACGGGCACTTACTCTACAGAATATTCACATGTGCATACTGGGCAAAGCATGACAGAAACTCACAGTAATATATATGTAAGAATAAAGTGCAAGTTGTACTATTCTTTTACACTTTTTGCCCCATGACCCAGCAGTTACAGTGAATTCCATTGAAGAGTAAATAAACTCAAAGCAGCTCAAGTAGATAACGCAGGGCAGCTGCTTGAAGGAGTGCTTGCTTCCAGTGTTTGGTCCACCAACTGAGAACAGCAGAAAAGACCGAAAACCGAACTCAGTGTATAGTGACATTTTCGAGATGTTTCATAGTAGTGTACTGAAATAACAAAAGTTTAGAATAGAACACAATCATGGTAGTCTTGCATTCTTTTGAAGTCATTCCAAGTCCCTGACAAATGTGGTTGTCTGCACGCTGCGAGTCAAGTCTGAGAATGGAGAAGACACATACAAAGTACGAATGTTGTCCTCCGAGACTCTTGGGGATCTGCGGAAGTACCTATCAAAACACAGGTGAATAGTAGTTTCCTATACTCACCATGAAATATGCTTCCATCTTACTTAATCTTTTGTTTTCCTTTATTCACAGAACTACTGAAGATGACTTTGAAATCATCAATCGATTGCCTTATCGAGTTTATGACAACAATGAATGTACTCTACAAGAAGCTGCCCTTGTACCCAATGCTTTTCTCCTTCTAAGAAGAAAACTTTAAAATAACTCTGGTAAATAGGTATCATATGGCAATCAAACAACCTTTTAAGAATCTACTAGAATCAGACTTTGTAATTAGGCGTAATTATGAGTGTTTTTATGCTGCTTCTATGTAATTTATATTAGAAAGGGATTACATTTTATAGAAAATGCACTGCATATAAAGAACTACAACTAAAGTTATAAAGAAATAAGATTTAAACTATTTAAATAGTATCAAAAATGACATCTCTGCTTTGATTATTGATTACAAAGCACCATGCTTTTCAGAGTATAATTCATACCTGTTCCTTCCCCAAACACAACAGCCATGGTATTATAGACTTGTAGTTTTGGGTGGAATTAGGACGCTCTCCCTCATTTCTTGTACTTTTGACCAAAACCTCTACCGATGATTATGGGTTTCTAATAATAAAACCTGACATACAACTTGAATTTTCTCCATCCTATCCAAAACACCAAGGTGACTTGTATTATCATTAAAGCCTAACTCCAGATATTTGATTTTGAATAGAGTGAGGAAGAGTTAAAATTTGTCAGTTTTTTTACTTCTGTATGTTACCCCACTGGGGACGTTGCCCTCTTTTCCCATGTTTGTGACACCAATTCTACCTCTTTTCCACTCTACTATAAATGTGTTTTAGTCTTCACTGGAGAGCTTTTCCATCACTTCATGTCCAAACAGGAGGTGAGGGGAAATTTCCCCTACCAGGGAAAAAAAACTGCTATGAAAACCTGAGCTTTGAACCCCCTCCTCATTCAACCCAAAACTAAATACACTTTTAGGCTGGCCATACATTAAACAATTTTCTTGGAATTTTGCTTTAGATTTACCAAAAACCATATTTATTTATTTCAGGTACTTATATAGCGCCATCAATTTACGCAGCGCTTTACATATATAGTGTACATTCACATCAGTCCCTAACCCTCAAGGGGCATACAATCTAAAGTCCCTAACTCATACATATACATACTAGGGCCAATTTAGACAGGAACCAATTAACCTGCCAGCATGTCCTGGAGTGTGGAAGGAAACCGGAGTACCCGGAGAAAACCCACGCAGTCACAGGGAGAACATGCAAACTCCAGGCAGGTGGTGCCAGGGTTGGGATCATATAATATGAGTTCAAACCTAAAGAACACTTTCAATTGTATCCAATTAGGCAGGCCCTTGCACTACATAGTTGAAGGTAAATCTAAAGGAAATTGGGCAGAAAATTGTATAATGTATGGCCAGCCGTACACTGGAGTTGGCCTTTAAGTGGAAGCCAGCTTACTTGCCTAAAGGTTTTGGGACTGGGAAATCAAAAGTATTTGCAAGAAAAAAAAAGAAAAGTGGAGAACAGATTGCAGCAAGTCAAGTTCTAGTAAGTTATCTATATTTTTATACACAATGGAATAGAAGATGACTTGCTCATTGCCTCCCTGGTAAATCATTGAAAAAAAAAGCATCATGAAAAATAACAGCTTGCATCTGATTTAGGGCTGTAAAATTATCAGCAAAACAAATGGGGAAAGTACATATTAGTAAAATGATCTGAAGATCAGTTTCTACTTATTTTCTTGAACAAAAGGTTTTAAATATCAGTCCACAAATTGTTGTGTGCCAAATTTATTGTGATCGTTAGATACCAATTTACTCATCTAAAATTCAGCATGCAAAATAACAAGAACTTACATGATGATAAACAAATTTATTAATAGTCTGGAAGACTTGCTTCCTCTTTGGCAGGAAATATACATGTTGAATTCACAGTCGAAATGGGATAGATGACCACTTAGCTGCCAGCAGAAATAAGGGGGTTCTGTAACATTGGAAGGCAGTCAATGGTCTCTTACTTTCCAGTTTATCTGCACTACTTTGGGAATGGTGATCAATTTAGGAATGTTTTTTTTTTTAAAAAAAAACAGGAATGACCAGAAGTTTTAGTAATAAAAAACAAAAAAAACAACAAAAAAAACAAAAAGTATACATGTATAAAAAAGCTACTCTACTTAAGTAGATTACAGAATACTAGGGAATGATATAAGGCGTGTTGGGAGCAAGCTCTGGAAGTATAGAATGGTTGCCGATATTCCACTTTTACTGCAAAGATAAAGTCCTAGTTTTGTCCTAGGAAGTTATTCAATGTACCATCTTCCACTGCAGCCATCACCTCTTCATAGCCCTGCAAATGAAATAGTGAAAAATAGGTTCTGTATATAAATAATAAAATAGAAACACAATAGATAATACATCTGAGAATCCATTTCAAGATATTTTTTCATACATGGCACCAACAATGTGATTGGATTTACACAGCGAGGTCATCATTTATTTGGACCATCTCTGAGACAAAGGAGTTCTAGTATTGTAGAAGAACACCCTATATCAACTATGAATTCTTTAAGTATTGCATGCAGACATTTGCACTGAAATGGACTTATCTGGGCCTCTTTCAGATCCCTGCTATGTCATAGTAATCTCACCAAGCTTCACCCATAACTAAAGTAATAAAGAAAACACACAAACCGCTTGTAGCGCACTACTACAAAGTCCAGTTCACTCAAAGTCGGGGGGGGGGGGGGGAGTAATATTCCAGTAAACAGGAGATCCTGCAGCTTGCCAAAAGATATGGGGTGATCCAAGGAGCTCATAGACAAACAAGAAGAGAGCAAAAAGAGGGCCCCTAGCACCACCCCCTACTTTCAGCAGACATGAAGGAGTCGCCACGAGGCAGTTGTTCAAGTGCAGGAAACAGACTACTGTTTCCCAAATCTCAAAGATGGCCAGAGAGAGAATGACTTACCCTAGGTTCACATCAGTGCGAGTGGTGCCGCTGCAGATCCGCACGAAAATCCATGCACCACTCGCACAGAGAAATGCGGACCCGAGGGCGTGTGCCATTACTTCTAATGGCACGCCGCCCGCACTGGAAAACGCAACCGTTCTGAGAACCAAGGTTCCCGTGCGGGCTGCGTTTTCAAAAGAAGTGCAGGGGCTTCTTCGCTGCGTGTCACGGGCACGGGAGTCCATTCAAATGACTGGGCTCTCTTGCCCGTGCAAAACGCGGCCCGCACAGCCGCATATATGTGAACCAGAGTTAAAACAGCTTCGCTGACCGCTCTGCAGTGTCTTCATTCCTACTGAAGCTGATTGTCAAGATTTGTACATGTAAGTGTGTTATATTGTTTTTATGGAAAACTTTTACTCTGTATTTTACCAGGAATCCCACACTGCTCTCTTCTTGTTTGTCATAACTAAAATAATAGTTTTTAGAGATAGAACTTTAAAGCAGATTTCCAGTGAAAATGTAAAAAAAAAAAAAAAAAAAAGTTTTTGTGGCTCCTGCTGCGGTCAATCAAATCCAGTGACAAAACAGTGGTGAGCAGGGTCGAGCCGCACTGTGTGTGTGTCAATGGACTCAGACTCGTAGGAAGCTGCTTCCTATGGTGGCCCACAGAGAAGAGGAGGAGCCCAGAGCGATGGCGGGGACCACAGAAGAAGAAAATTGGGTTCTGCTCTGTGCAAAACCATTACATAGAGCAAGTAAGTATGACGTTTGTTATTTAACAAAACATAAATAACTCCAATCACTTAAATTGGTGAAATCTACTGATTGTAGATGAATGCACTTCAATAAGTTAATAATTTTAGAATCCGCTATGAAATGTTAGGGTTTTTTGGTGCCTTATTTTAGCATCAAACAGTCAGCTCTTGGGCTAAAGTTGCTGGTCTGGCCAGTCCTAGACAAATTAGCAGTCATTTGTATGCCACTTGTAGATAATTTTCCTTACAGTGGAATGATGGATTTAAAAAACATGTACCAATATTTTTTACATCTCTTGCCACACTCATAAGCATCCAAACCCACCTATCTTAAACCCCGGACCCTGCATTCACTATATCTGGTCTCTCACAGTACACACAACATTGACGTGCAATTATTTTAGTAAATATAAACTGCTAAATACTTCTTAGCAGTTAGAGCAGTCTGACTTCTATTAGTGTCCAGCCAAGCACTGGTTAAAGCTTGTAGGAGAAGTTTTCTTTCTGCTGTAGGAGGATGCAAAACCCCTGACCTCTGTCTGGACAGTGCCGATTGGCCCTGTGCTGATCACATGCACTCTCCCAAGAAAAAAAAAAAAAAAAACTCTAGCAATACACACCAAACTGAACATGTGCAGAGTGCCTCCACATGATATGTCTTATCATGAGATAAGAGGGGGACACTGGAAGAAGGGGGGAGGATCAGAGAAGTCAGGACTAAACAGCCTTTTTTACACAATGCAGAGGATTAACCCCTTAGGTTCCACAGTGAGTATAACAAGCATGCTTTACTGCATATACAGACCGATTTTACTGTTGTGGGTTTAGTAACATTTTAAAGCAGGCTGTCACCCATGAAAAGCATGTCCTCTCATCTGGTCCCTCACTCACGCAACTGAATTTTTAGGTTTTTTTTCAACAGTAAGGGCTCGCTAACACCATGGTGCAGAGACAACAGTTTTTCTGTACACATTCTGCAACGACACAACAAAATATCAATTGTTCTCTTTGTGCCTTCCTTTAGATTGTAAGCTCCCAGGATCAGGGCCTTCCTATTCCTTCTGTACTGAAATGTATTGTAATTGTATTGTCTCCGTTATATTATAAAGCACTGCGCAAACTGTTGGCGCTATATAAATCCTGTATAATAATAATAACGTGCCATGTTCACACCACAACATTATTATCACGTGCAGATTTTTTTTCTACGCAGGAATCTGAAACGTGTATAACTCATTGAAGCTTGCATGAAAACTGACCGTCTCTGCAAGTGAAATCTGCTGATCAGTTTCTCTGCACGTTTGGTGTGAACGAGGCCTAAATACCTTTTTACAGAGTTTTACTTCCTGAATCCTTGCCTAGATGACCAACTGCCTCCTGGGATGTCTACATCATATCCCAGGTAGTAGTATTTTAGCAATAGAGATCTCATGCATGCACAGACTGACGCATGCCTCTGCCAGTTTATGGGGCGAGCGGGTCTCTGCTTTCTGCCAGGAGTGTCTAGATTTCATAACTAGCTGCTCAGAATGACAAATTCTCTTGTAGGTAGTGTTTCTTATAAACATATTTCCACTATATATTTAGCTACTTGGCTGGCGTTCAGTTTTTAGGCTTTTAAAAACCTATATAGACTATGACCATGTGAAACCTTTGACTCTACTTTTATGAACCATTACCGTGGGTTTTTATCTTCACTGTAACTTGGTGAAGGTGACATTTCTGTACGAAGACTACTGGGTAGGAATGCATGCCCGTTTGATCTGCTTACACATAGAAACTGAAAATTGGCAGAGGTGACGTGTAGACGGTAGATAATAATCTCCGTAACAATAAAGGAGTGGTGTGGCGTTCAGTGTGATTGTGTGCTGTAGGCGCCTTCTCTTAGCAAGCTAATCGACTTTTTTTTTAATCACAATTTCCAGCGCCAGAATGAAATACTTAACTATATTTTACAAGCTTTATGTTATCAGGTAAAATAGTGTTTCTCACAATGCTACTGTGCGCAAAGCATCCAATTAACCAACGAATGCATGAAGTCACTCTAAAAATAACATAAATAAAATGAATACTTCTCATGTGTGATTCAACGGGTTTATTTAAAAAATCAATGTGGAATTCCAGGCCTCGCTTTCAACTACACATTCCTGCTCTACAAGATATTCGGTTTCTCTGAACAAGTTCCACTTTGCCCTTCTTTCTAGTAAACACTACGTACAATCTCAATGTCATGCATCACATTATTCAGATCAACATGACCTTCATGCTGAAGCTTTAATAAAAGGTTTTCCCAAACCCGCCACCACCACCCATACTCTGCTTTCAGGATGACAGTCTGCACTTTAAGGGTTCATGTACACTGCAGCTGAAACTCACGTTTAGGAGATTTTCTGCGTTTTTTTCAGCAGCCCCTGAACTCTCCCTAATGATTTCCTATGTGTCCATGTACACATCTTCTTTTACAGGCAGTTGAGTTTACAGTCGTTTTTTTTTAATGCACCAAACTTGCGTTCAGTAGATTTTATCAGTGTTTCAAACGCCAAATGCGTGTAAATGCGGCTAACCGCGTTTATAAGTGTTTGCGTTTAGAAGCGTTTTTTAACTGTTCCATATCCAAATGCTGTCCTTTTTTCATCATCAGAAATGCATGCAAAGTGTTTTCCATGTATTCAAATGGACCGGTACACCAGTGCAGTCAGTTCCAGTTTTGCGTGAAGGAAAAAAATGGTAGAACGTGCTGCATTATGCTCATGATGGGATCCATAGTGAGTACAACCAGAAAAGAAAGGTGATCTCAACACATACTGCTCTCTCTATTTCTCTCAAAATGTCTGAAATAGTAAATTTTTTACGGTTTTCCAGTGCATTCTGGGCATTTGGGAAGGTCTCCTGAGGTTATCTTAAAAAAAAAAAAAAAAAAAAACGCTTCTAAAACGGAAACGTGCATAAACGCGGTGTGCAAACAGACTTTTTTTAACCTACGTTTTCCAGCAGTCAGTTTCCATCATTCAGAAGTGTTTTCCAAATGTCCTCTGTACATGGAGCCCAAATTTACTTCCATGAGCATCATGACATTAAGTCCTCATGCACACTGGACGTTTTTACAGCTGCTGTTTTTTGGCTTTTGACATTTTTTTTACAGCCAGTAAACCCCCCAGCATGTTACCCTATGTGTCCATACACATAGACTGGAATCAAAATTTTTTGGCTGGAAAAAAAAAAACAAAAAACAGAACTAGTGGGTTTCTAGAGTTGTTTAGCTGTAAAAATGCTCTAACGCTGAAAAAACGTGGTAAAATGCCAAAAACCAACATTTTTGGACTTTTTTTTTTCTTGACCAAAAAAAAAAGAAATTTTTTTATTTGGAAAAAAAAAATGCTAAAAAAAACGCAAGCGCGGGAAAAAACGCCGCTAATCGCAGGTAAATGCGAATGCAAAAATGCTAAAAAAAAGTTTTTAACGTGGCTTTACACAGCTAACGTTACCAGCGTTGTCAAAACGCCCCGTGTGCATGGAGCCTTACACAGCATTACGCAGGGCCCAGTGTGCATCTACTGACTATAATGAGCTGCCAAAAAACAGCCCATTGTAATCAATAGACACTGCCAGTGCCTGCTCAGCAATGGGGCTACGATGTAA